TTTACTATCTACTGACATTTATTTGAAACAAATACAGGGTGATCAAAAGTCTGAATCTTGAACCACCCTGTATTTGTTTCAAATAAATGTCAGTAGATAGTAAATCAAAAGTTGAGATAGGGACATAAAAGCCGTTTTGACCAATAATGAATAGTTTCGACTCAAAAAAATCCTAAAGTTGTAAAATCTCGATTTTGAACACCCTATATCTCTGTAATCATTCCTGCTAGACCCCAAGTGTGATACATTGATGAAATCAGCTTTTCAGGGAAAATCTAAAAATGCAATAAAATACAGGGTGTTCCATTTGAAATAACAAAGTTGTTGCTTCTTTTCGTTAGAAGCGGCAACGCCGCGGGGCTGAAAATATTTTAGAACCATGTCCCCCTCGGAAATGTAGTTGATGTGTCTCGGGATTTTTCAAAAACATACACACATTTCGAGAAAATTAGGGTGGGAAGTCCTGAAATGAACACCCTGTATATATATTCTGTTCATTTAGCGATTCTTCATTTTCTATAAAAAAGTCGTATCGAGGAGGAGTGTTGAATATTTGTATCACTCTTAGTACATGTGTGATTTTGTCATATTGAAAATAGTAGAGATGATTTGTCAGTAGTTCTTCACGTGTTGAATAAAATATGGTAAAACTGCATTTATCATGCGATGGGCTCGTTTTCGAAAATTTATTTTTGTACTTACGTATTTTTGTCTTAAAAAATAAGAATTTGATAAGGAAAATGTGAACAAACCACTACTTATCGAGATATTTCAAGAGAAAGTTCGAAATTTCGCCTTCTTTTTCCCCTTGTCTTGGATGCATTTACAGATACTTGCCCTTCTTATTTTGTCATTGGACACTTTATATACTCATGATGTACTTCAATGACATTTTTATATGGAAAATTCAACAGGAAATATGATTTTTATAGCGAGTTTTTCATAATTTTTAGTGAACAAGCCTACCAGATGACGGCCATTTAATCAATAGTCAATCCAAATATGAGATGTCAAATGTCAACAGAGTGCTCTTGAATGACATCACACACGTCATTATTTTAAATATTTCTACTGAATATGGATAAATCACAAGAAAATCATGTTTCTAGTGATAATAATAATAATAATAATAATAATAATAATAATAATAATTTATTCGCCATTTAGGTACAGTGTGTACATATGGTAAGTCATACAATGCGTAAGTCACATGATACAATAAAACCAAATTGTAGATCATTGAGTAAAAATAACAATCGTATGAATAAATAAAATCAAAACGGATCTGACGACAGCACAACACATATTAAAATCACTGAATTGAAGTTGTATTACGGAATAGGATGACAGCACACTACAAGTAAAATAATTCACAATAATGGATCATTCAAATATTCTTGATAGGAATAGTAACATTTGTCAGTCAGCAAACATTTTATTTTGTTAAAAAATAATCTATCACATTCAGAATTTTTAATTTCCGTTGATAGTTTGTTGTAGAAACTCAGTGCTTTGTAGAGAGGAGAATTTTGGAATTTCGTGGTTTTGTGGTTTGGTATTTTTAGGTGACTACTACCATTGCGTGTGTTGTAGCATGCGAAGAAGCATTGGTATCGAAGGATTTCAAGTTGCTTCTCATGCATTTCAAACATTTCAAAATATAGATGGATGGAGTTGACTCATATAATAGAAAAAAATGTGTCGTACATTGTGATCTATATAAATTGTCCAATGATGAAAAAAGAAGGCAAATTGTTCTACAGGGTGTTCCTAACTACGGTCCCTAACTGCAGATGGTTATTTGTTAGGTCATTTTAAGAAGAAAAGTTTCTATGAACATATGTCAGTAGTTGCTTCGTTTCTGAGATACAGGGCGATGAAATTAAAGAAAACAAACGATAATAATTATAAAATATCATGATATCATGAATATTCTGGAACCGATTTGGTTGAAATTTGGTACTTTTATTTGTCTAATTTTCTAAAATTTCAGCACATCAAGTGTAAATCAAATTTTTGGCGAGAATAATGAAAAACTCATTTCTCCAATGCATCAGGTGTTCATGATATGCAATACAGTGGCTTTGATTTTTTTCTCGAAAACGAAGCTGGATATGAAGAAAATGCAAGAGACCACAAAGTTGGATTTTGAGTTGCTCAATCTAAACAAAATAAAAATTTACCAAAAAAAGTCAGTGGCGTACTTTTTTTTCACAATATTGTTGGCTGTGGTGCCCACTGAGACGCCACTGGCCCCAATAATTTCAATCTAAATAGGGCTAAATAAGCGCCTTATAAGTTCAAATGAAAGTACCAAATTTCAACCGAATCGGTTCTAGGATATTCATGATATTTCATAACTACCGTTTTTTTTTCTTTAATTTCAACGCCCTGTATCTCAGAAACGAAGCAACTCCGGACATATGTTAATAGGAACTTTCCTTCCTAAAATTACCTAACGAATCACCACCTGCAGTTAGGAACCGTAGTTAGGAAACACCCTGTATATCCGATCCAGAAGACAGGCGGAAAAGAAGGTGAAATTTGTAACTTTATAGTGAAATATCCTAATAAATAATGGTTTGTTCACAATTTCATTATCAAATTCGTTTTTTCAGACAAAAATTCGAAAGCACCAAAAAAATTTTCGAAAAAAAACCATCGCATGATAAATGCAGTTTTACCTAAAATATTTTACGGAAATATGAATAGCTAGACAGGTTGTTACAAAAATACATAAAAAATACAAAACAGACGCGTGAGGAAATGCATTCCTGGTATACCGAAGTTTCGGCGCCCAAGTTAATGTGTTGTCAACCATTTCAGTGAGTCACAATAAGGAAAGCTCAAAAAAATTCACGGACGGTAGCTTGTTGACTTTCATTGTCATCGCTGATGGTGATTATGCAGCATTGACAAGTTCAAATAATGAAACTGGTTTGTTGTTATCTTCGACCATATCAAGGGGAAATGCATGAAATCAATAAGAACAAATACAAAGCGTTCTTGAACTATGAATCTTGATTTTTGCGCGTTCCTTCTTTTTCTCAGATACATCATGGGTGTGCGATGCTGAAATTCATAGTCTGGTAAACACTTATTTGAATGAATGAATAAAGATGAAAAAATTCAATGATCTTGTGAGAGTATGGGTATGTCATGGTATGTCGCAAATGCTTCCACTGTATTAGCCAAACATTGGATGTGAACTATGTTAATTTCTATATATTTCTAGAAACATTAGCAAATGTTTAAATATAAAGTGCGTGTCAGTATGGTGAATGTAGAAATATTAATGAGAAACTTGATGTTTATAATTGTATATTTCATTCGGATTATGCAAAATACCCATTAATGCAATAAAAATAAATAGAAAAAAGATTTGCTGTACCAACGAACTAATTTCGATAGTGTTCTGTTGAATTCATTACAATTTCGAACAAGTTATCTAAAATTACAATATATTCTAATTGAACTCATACAACAAAATTGAACTTTCATTGAATCAAAAATAATTTTATAGTTCGTCAATCATGTCATGTCCATATTATGACAACATAGATAATTTTCAAGAAAAATATAATTATTGTAGAACAACATTATATTTAAAAAGGAACATTCTCAGATATATTTATGAACATAAAGAAATGGATATATATATATATAGAAATACATTGAGAACTCGCATTCTCCATGTGATGAAAATATCAATTCTTTCACGGTTTATTCAACAGAAAACAACTACTTTCCTGGCTATATGCCACGACGAATATTGAATAACATCTATTGAACACACACTATGAGAATTTGAAAACAAAATCTTCTGAAGTAGAGAATTTGCATTCTCCTTCATATGAAGATATGCATATAATATAATTCTGAATATTCAACAGAAAACAACTACTTTCCTGGCTATTTGCCACGTCGAACATTGAATTATATCTGTTGAATATCCAAAAAGAAAGCATGAAGGATCAAAATCCTCTGAAATTGTGAATTAACATCATCTCTTCTATGCTTCTTTCATCTGTGCCTTGGTTTCATCTTTAGTTGATGTTCGGTGCTACCGTCCATATCAAAATGTTTTTGCCTCTCATGCGATTCTCCACTGGCTCTCCAGAACCATGAAGTGAATTACGATTTATTAATGAATAAATAGACCAGAAAGAGGTCGTCGAACAACAACAGGTGAAGATGTTTCGTAATTTTACATTAATATTAATATTTTGAAGGATACCATAGTTTGAATGAGTAGGCTGTGAATAAATTAGATATTCAATTATTTCAGTAACTGAATCGAAATGATTGTGATTAATATACACCATGGATAAATCTCGAAACGTAGAATATCGATAGGGAGTGAGTTGAAGAATTATTCACTATGCCTGTTGGAAAAATTTAGTTTATGTAATTGATAGTTCTGGAAGTATTTCAAAAGATAAATCATAATATTCTATGTTTTTGGGGACACGGTATATAATAGTATATATCAATCTTCCATCGAGTTATAGATAGGTACCCACGTCAAAATTGAGAAAGGCAACTTCTTGTCGAAATTTAGGACTATAACTTTATAATGAAATTATGAATGAGTGTTTAAAACTTCTTGCTTTCGCGACATACATCAGGATGTTCAATTCAAAACATCAATAAATTTTTCACAAGATTCCAGACCATTTATATATAATGGCGAAATTCAATCTGGTCGCTAACTGAAAGATTTTCAAATTTTCAAATTAATAGTAAGTAATTATAGTTATTGTGATAATAAGTAGTTCCAATGAGTGTCAATTTTCTCTGTAAAATGGCACCACCCGGCTGTTTTTCTTCGAAATTGAATTCATTCTGGTAGAAAAAGGACTTGCTTATTGAAGGCGAATCGAATGTTTGTGTGAAAATTATACTTGTGACGTTCTAGAGATATATTGAAATCTACGATTTCATAGTTCCACCCTGTATATGAGTTTTTGAAACAAGTTGTTCATTACATAATATCTTTTGTTTCAGGGTTTACAAACATGGCCTCTATTATAAAATATGTTGTTGATGGGTACCATGATATAATGGACAATCAAAGTGGTGAGTAAAATTTGTTAAAAAAATCCAATGGTATAAACAGTTAGAGATTCAAATTCAATATACGTCGATTTCATATCATACCATAGAATATAGAGATTATTCATAAAACATTGAATAGCCAAGGCCTTTCGATGACTAGATTCGTTAAATAAATATTCAACGTACAATATTTTTTTGTCGACCTGTACAAAAAAATCACATTTTACGTTCTAATTTCCGAACGAAAAAACCGACTATTTCCGAAGGCGAGTACTTTTGTCCGCAGACACTGACTTTCCGTTCGGAAACACTTTTCTTCCGCTGCAGAGTTGCCAGTTCTACTGCATTTTCAGTAGATCTCCTGATTTGCATATTCATAGGTACTTGATCTACTGAAACATTTCATAATATACTGAAAAATATTTTGACACTTATTTATTATTCATTACCTATATTATTATGAATTTTGAGTTAATCACATACACCCCTTATGAATTGCATGATAACTCGGCACGCTCTGTTCAAATTAATTTTACAAAATGAGTACTAAATGTACATATAGGTACTAATGATTTGTATAAACCGAAAAAGGACAATACCTCATCTGATTCAGATCAAATTCAATTTTTTATATACCTTTGTTATAACTGTTTGTTTTTAATTTTGATTTTTTTATTTGTTTTGTATTTTTGTTGTTAATTTTTACTATTCTTTTCTGTGTTTCGTAAACCTACTCAAGTACTTTTGTAACTGAATTTTGTGATATTTGTGAGTACTTTTGAATTGAGAATTAGGAATATTATTATCTTTTTATGGGAATGTTTGTTTTGTTTGTTTCTATTTTGATAATCAGATCGAATTCAATTTATTATACTTATTATACTCCTCTTATAACAGTATTTTTGTTGTTCGTTTTTACTATTCGTTCGTTTTTTATATAGATACTCAAATCTTATGATTACCCATATAACTGTATGTATTTTGTGATATTTGTGAGAATTTTTAAATTGAGAATTTGGAAGATGTTAATTTTTGTACGAGAATGATTGTTTTGTTTGTTTCTATTCTGTTTACTAAAAGTACGTCATAGGTTCATTTCATTATCCTTTTTTGGAATAAGTATAGCATAAAATAGATCTGAAACAGATCTATTGAAATCTATTGAATTTTTGACAAGGTATTTACTAATGGAATAAAAATTGAACTGGCAACCCTGGTCCGCGCGTAGAGTGAATTGACAACAACTGTCACTTGCTGTTGTCAAATTGATTATTCACGAAATCCGATAGATTACGTGTGAATATAGGACCGTGATGTGAATATAAGTGCCTTAAGTCGACGAAAAAATATAACATGCCCCTCGGCGGAAAACTGTCTATTGTCTCGCCTGATTGCTAGCCTCGGGTGAGGCCTCGGCTTTCAATTTGCAGACTCGATTAAAATAGACAGTATTTCACCCTTGGTACATGAATAACCATTATCTTATTTTGATGGAAAAGTTCTCTTGATCAGATATAACAACCCGTTTCTACATGAGTTCTACCGATTATGCACAAAATTCCGTCAAACAATAATATGGTCAAAAATCAGCAAAGAAATTCACGAAATAGTTTCAGTTTCAGTTAGTTTTCCCAAGTGATATCCAGAAAGCAGCACAAAATGCACTATTCTGTTCGTCCATCCATATTTTTATTACGTAACTGGTGTTGAAATGAAATTTACATCACAAGTTATGTAATTATTACTTAACGCAACTAGTTACGAAAAGTACCTAAGATGTTTCAAAACTTTCGTCAGTTTTAAAGTGTCAAATTACATGTCAAAATTAGAAGAACATAATAAATACATGTCACTGGTCTATCAATGATACGAACAAGGAATCAACCTGAGAAATATTTCGCGAATTTTTCCATAGCTAGTGTTTCCTTGTCTATTTTAAAGCGGGCCACCCTCATGAATTTTTCATGTATAGAGCGATTTTCACGATAATTTTTTTAGATGTAGAGGGGGAAAAGTGTATTTCGGATCTGAGCGGCGACCACTTCTTCTAAAAATCAAGGCCTACTAGATCACATTCAGAGGCTGAAAAATCTACAGCGTTTCTGACTTCAAACGGCCCTCCTCTATATCTCAACTATTAGTCGTGTGATTCGTACCAAATTTGGACCAGTATAAGTAACCATAAATATGATCAGTTTTTTGAAGACGATCAGGGGCGTTACCTTCGTGATGTATTTAATGAAATCATATTTTGAATTGTTTTGCAAGAAAACTAACTTTATATTATTGTTACTCAAGCTTCGGAACCTCGATGTGCAAAAAACCACCCCATTCCAAATCAACAGAATTGGCTTTATTTTTTTTTTCATTTTCAGCTTCGGAAAAATAGTGAATTCAAATGAACTGGAAATTTTTGAATAAAAAAAATACGTTAAATTATTAACTCGGAAACAGAGAGTTCAACATAATAGCATTTCTTGTTTTTTTCTCTCAAATCACGATTTTCTACTTACCGGAGCTATTGAACGTTCTAAAATTTGCAGTTAATTTGAATTCACTATCTTCCCGAGGCTGAAAATGGAAAAAATTAAGCCAATCCTGTTAATTTGGGATGAGGTGATTTCTTGCACATGGAGGTTCAAAAACATGAGGAACAATAATATGAACTTAGTTGTTTTGCAAAACCATTCCTAATATGATTTCATAAAAAATGACCCTCTTTCATTTCAATAAAAACGTATGACACTGTCCATAATGATGTTCGTCTTCCAAAAACTGATCTCATTGATGGTTATCTTAAGTGGTCCAAATTTGGTACGAATCGCACGACTAATAGATGAGATACAGGAGTGCGGGCCGTTTTAAATGAGACACGCTGTAGAATCGTTAATGTTGAATATTTTTCAATGAAACTTGATACAGACTGTTTCAGACAATGCCAATTACAGAGGCGTACGCAGATTTTGTCTAAAAAATCGCTAATATGGATTCTAGATTTGTCAGTCTCGGAATGTGATCTAGTAGGCTTTGGTTTACAAAAAAATTGGACGCCACTCAGCTCCAAAATACGTCTTTCCTCCCTCTACATCTAAAAAACAAAAACGTGAAAATCGCTTCATAAATAAAGAAATCATGGGGGTGGCCCTGTTCCAAATGGGTCACGCTGTAGAATTATTCAAAAGAACCTTTGATGGTTTCTCCTTGTGTTGATAGATTTTACTTTGGAACCTAAACAAAATCTTCGAACATAGTGACTGCATTCTTCTAAAATAGAGATAATATTAATATGTCTAGGAATACCACGCCACAGATAATTTGTAGATGTGAGTATTCCAGAAATGAGAATATATTTCTTCCTAAAAGGTGACATATGCGTTACTCCACAATTCTCGATGAGAATTTGTGAAATAGCTGCCATAACGAAGCATGAAAGAAATTAACACAACCTCATTATTCTTCATCAATGAAAACTTACTCAATTCTACCGGATGACAGACCGAATATTAGTAGAGTAATGAGTAGAAAAACACACTTATGCAACGTCTAGTCTGCAACACCATAATTATAATACATATTCCTCAGTCTTGGGACCTATTGGATTCCAGAACATACATCAATTTCATTTCGATAATGTTATCTAAAAATTGAAAGGTGAGCATTTTATATGGAGTTGAATTGTTACTATACTATACCATATTACTATTTCTTCACCAGCTATCTATACTCACCTTCTTCGAACATTCATGATTCGAATGAAGTGACATAAATAACAAACATAGCCATCAATTTCGGTGTTCCACAAGGATCAATTATGGCACCAACATTGTTCCTACTTCAAATCAATGATTTGTTGGGAGAAACCACTTGCCCTATCCATAGCTTTGCCGATTTTAGTAATCCTGATACTGAGTTCTCTTCAAGAATTGCCATTTCTGCGGAACCAACAACCTTGTTGAATTCAACGCCAAAACTCAGGACTGTATCTTCTCTAGAAAGGCGGAACTCAGTATCCTGATATATCAATGTCTGGTACCACCATTACTACAAAGTTCACTATATTTATGCTCGGTATTTCCATCAGCGAAACTCTTTCATGGGAAAATCATGTCCGATCCATCGCGAAAGCTGTTTCACCAAAACTCGGATGTACTTTACACCTCAACAGCTTCTCATGATCTACAGAGCAGAGATACGGCCAGTTTTAGAATACTGTTCTCACATATGGTGTTCACGACTCTGGAATAAGTGGACAGCCTACAGCCTCTGTCCTGGACATCATAATATATTGCCCTAAGTGTAGAAAACAATATGTTCAAGTGCAGTATATGGACTCGACTGAAATCAGGAAATATAATTGGGACTATTCTTTGGTAGAATCTGGTAGAATCTGGTGTACCACAAGGCTCGGTGCTGGGTCCTTGACTCTTTTCATTATATGTCAATAGCCTTTATTTTTCATGCTGTACGCAGATGGCTTATCTTCAATCATCTCCAACCCATCATCAAGAACTGTAGATAATAACATTCGAACTATACTAGAAAATATACGTACTTGGTTTAGTGAACACTAATTATTTTATAATACAAAGAAAAACTCAACTAGCAACTTTTCATAACTAACGAAAAGTATGTGAACCACTGAATATTACTGTCAACAATTGCATGGTTCAAGACAGTTTAGAGGAATTCCACCCATTATCCTTGAAAAGTGTGCATCAGAATTGACACCGATTCTCTGCAAGCTATTTACCATCTCCTACAAGTCGGGTAATTTCCCATGTTGTTGGAAAATAGGTATAGTCCAACCTATCCCCGAAAAGAAAACAGGAGCCTGTCCAACGACTGAAGGCTAATTGCACTGTTATCGGACATCTCCAACGTCATGGGGGAGGGAAGCCATCGACATTGAGCTCATCAAATATCTGGGAAGCTCGGATATCTTTAATGATAGACAATATGGCTTTCGCAACCGAAGATCAACTGGAGATTCACTTGCCTACGGCACCCATATATGACAAACT